ATCAAGACTGCTGGCCTTAGAGTACCTGCTTGCTGAGCGAGGGGCTTGCGGAAAATTCCACCTAAGTGACTCCTGCCTGCAGCCAGATGATGAGGCAAAGGTTCTTTAGCCTTGGGGCACTAAAACGCTTACACGAGCTGTGACCCTCCTCCGCCTAGTCCCTCTGGTTACATGGTCTGTGTCAGCCTCACTGAGGCCAGGGTGGAAAGAAAAGCGGGACACATCCGCTGATGACATGGCAACATAAGCCAAGAGATGCTGTCCGGCCCTAAAAAGGGAGGAAGTGTCTGAGCATCAAAGTGTGAGAGGAATGTGCAGACGACCTTACCGGGGACTGAACTCAGGACCTTGCTTTGTCACGGTCCATGTCACACTTTCTGTGCAGGAGCCTAGGGCCAGCAAGATAGCTCAGCAGACTGAGCGCCTGCTTCAGCAAGTGCAGGGACTGCGGTTCGATCCCAGGCATAAGCTGTGCTGGCCCAGCCTCTGGGCACACTAAGCCTGTTGGGATAAGAGTTAAAACAGAGATGTGCTAAATAACATGCAGGGCATGTAGGACAAGGGAAAATGACAACAGGGCAGCAAGCTGTGGGAGTAACCAAGAACACTTAGAACTCAAGGACTCCCTGTTTTTGTGTCCTTGCTCCCAGATGCCTAGCGGGTTCTCACATATAGTACAGCCTAAACATTAATCCTGGACACATACGATGGGATCTTGTTATGTTCACTTAAACTAACCTGAAGGCTGAGACTCAAGGTATATAAAAACAAAGACCAAAGGCAGCATGGCAGCCTTTTTGCTTGAGCCCTCACTTTGCTGGCACTGAGTGTCCACGTGTATTTGTTTGCAGCCAGTGCCCAAGAGTCTTCCCCAGCGTAGGCCAGACACCATGGAGTCCAGGTGTGGCGGCACATGTCTGTAATCCCAGCACGGGGGAGGCTGAAAACAGGATCGCTACAAGTCTGAGCTGTGTAGTGAGACCCTATACCAAATACATTAAAAAAAAAAAAAAAAAGGGGCCCAGCCAGATAGCTCAGCAGATTAAAGCACCTGCTTAGGCGGAGTGCAGCAACTGCGTTTGATCCTTGGCATGCCGTGCTAGCTCTGCTCCGAGCACGCTGAGATAGCCATTGGGACTGGGCTCCAAAGTGCACGCCTGTAATCCCAGTGCTTGGGAGGCTGAAAACAGGAGAATCACTACAAGTCCACTTTACATAGTAAGACCCTGTAGACCCTGTACTAAATACCAAAAAAAAAAAAAAAAGATGCTCTGAGGCAACTGAATACAGTTGTCATTCAAAAAAAAAGCTGAGGCAGGAGACTGCAAATTTGAACTTAGCCTGAACAATTTAGCAATGTTGGGCTGAGGAGATAGCTCAGCAGTATAAGCAACTGCCTGGCAAGTGCAAGGTCCCAAGTTCGATCCCTGGTACCTAGGGGAAAAAAAAAAAAAAAAAAAAAAAAAAAAAAAAAAAAAAAAAAAAAAAAAAAAAAAAAAAGAAAGAAAGAAAGAAAAAAAAAATAAAAAAATAAACGCAAAGGGCTGGGAGATAGCGCAGTGGAATAAGTGCTTACCTGGCAAGCGCAAGAGCCTGAGTTCAATACCTGGTTCTGCCAAAAAAAAAGCTAGGGATGTCGTCTCAAAATACATTAAAACATGAGGGTTGAACACTTGCCTAGCATGTACAAGACCCTGAATTTAATCCCCAGTGTGCATGAGGTAGGGGGTGGCAGCTAACTTTTCCTGGATAGTTTGGGGTTTTTAACTTTTTTGGTTTTTTTTTGAGACAGGGTCTTGCTATGCAGCTCAGGCTGGCCTTGAGCTCACTTTGTAGCCCAGCCTGGTCTTGAACTCACAGCAAACCTCCTGCCTCAGCCTCCCGAGTTTTAGACTTGCAGGCGTGCACCACCAGGGCTGGCCATGTTTTCTGGTTGAGAGAGGTTCTCAGCACGCAGCTCAGGCTGGCCTTGAACACACTACACGACCCGGCTGGCTTGGAACTTGCGGCGAGCTTTCATCATCAGCCTGCACGTGCTCAGATTCCTGGCACGGGCCACCATCCCAGGCTGTGGGGTATTTCCTACAAGTGTGGCATTCAGTACTTTTAACTGCATTTTTCTTTAATTTGCACAATCACCACCCTGTTGGCCTTCACTGAGGCGAAGGGAGTTTCACTCCGCTGAGGTCCAAAAGGACTGACTGCAAATGTCACACTAACCTGCAACAAAAAACCAAGAAGGAGCCAGACACTCCCACACCCACTTCCTATTCACAATAAGCCCGAAGTCCCCAGCACTCTACTGCTACCTGTGTGCCTTTACTTATTTCTTTTTTTTTTTTTTTTCATTTATGTATTTGGTACAGGGTCTCACTATGCAGCTCAGACTCATAGTGAGCGCCTGGTTTTCAGGCTCCCCAGCGCTGGGATCGCGGGTATGTGCCAGCTTGCCTGGACTCAGTCGCCGGTTCAGCATGCGGAACAGGGATCGAACCCTGGTCCCTGTGTTTGCCAAAGCAGGTGCTTAGTCCACTGGGCTATCTCACCAGCCCTTGTAGGCCTAATCAAGATTTGTCCTAGTGAAAATCTGTACTTTAAAAATTTCATGACACATAAAATTCATGGAGGCCTGTGTCCTGCACTGGATGGAGAGGTTGCTGGCAATTATTGCCACACTGAGACATCCTTGGTTGTTAGAAAAATCAGGCTGGTACTCACAGAGAAGCCATCATGGTCAGGAAGTCAGAGTATGGGAAAAGGGCCTCTGCAGCCTGTTTACGCGGATGTACCAAGCCTCCTGCAAGTCCAGATTCCAGCTCTGCCATTTAGCACATGCATTCAATTATGAAACAAGGGCCAAGCAGGCTGGTTGGCTGGCCAGCTGTTCGCAGGCGGAGGCTAGCAAGGAGAGCTCTGCTCAATGCACGCTGCAACAGTATCTACCTGTGCGGTGACGCGTAACAGATCTGCAGCCTGGAAGCCCAGCAGTGCCGCGCCAGCTGCCCTGGGCTCTGTCTCTACTGCACTGGTTTTCAGACTGGGCATTAAGGGGAGTTTTCTGCTTTGTGAAGCAGAAGCTGCTGCACATATAAGTGGCCAGCAACGCTGCCACAGGCGTGGCCCTGCTCCCCAGTACGTGGCAGGAGCCTGCATGGTCAAGTTAGTAAGGCCAAGGCTGGAAGAGAGAGAACATTTTTTCCCCTTTTGAGATAGAGTCTCATTGTACATAGTTCAGACTGCCCCAGGACTCACCCTGTAGCCCAGGCTGGCCTCAAACTTGAGGCAATCCTCCTGCCTCAGCCTCCCAGAGCTCTGGGATAACAGGCATGTGCCACCACGCCTGGCTTGCTACAGTATTTTCTGCACAACACACACCGACGCATAGGCTAGCATGCTGAAGACAGCTGTCATCCAAATACGGGCCAGTGGCTACCCAGAAACCTAACTGAACTAGATGGTGTCGTGGAGCAGCTGGTCACCCAGCCTAGGAGACGTAGCCTGCACACACCTGAGCCTGGGCCGAGGGCTGCAGGGAAAGCAGGGCCACCACTGCTGAGTGGGAGATGCGGACGGGCTGGGTGAGGCAGAGCTCACCTGCGGCAGGAGGTCGCCACAAGGTCCAGGCCAGCTGGGCTACACAGTGAGACCCTGTCTCGAAAAACCCGCAACAGAAAAGTAAGTGCTCACGAGCACAGATCAGTGGGGGAAAGGGGGTGCAAGGTGTTGGAATCTAGTTTGGCTTTGCACACCCTTCAAGGGCCTGCAGCCTTCTGGGACTGTGCTGATTCTACATATCTACATAGAGAGTACGCATGGCTGGGCAGCATGGCGCATGGCAGCAACCCAGCGCTCTAAGGCTGGGGCTCTCAGACTGCACCCTGCTGGGCAACGCAGTGGCCAGCACGGCTGGCTGAGCGTGACAACGGAAGGCTGAGGACACAGCTGCCTGAAGGGCCTGCATTCAATCTCCAGGGCCGGAAAACACGCATGCGCTTGTCTTCACCAGAAGCTGGGAACCAGGAGAGCAGGTGAACCCCAAGACACCGAGGGGCCACGCTGTGCCCACTCTGCCGGCCACGGCCATGAGGGAAGGACCTAGCCCAGCTACTTGGTGCTACAGTACGAGGTCGGCAACTGGCACAAACCCGGTGTCCCGGAACCAGTGCCCGAGAATGGCAATTGCCACCCTCTGAGTCACTCACTTCTGGGAGCCGGAGCAAGGCCTACTAGGCTCCCAGGTCCTGGCTGCTGCTTCCATGCCACTGGCCCTCAAGCTGGGTCATGGGAATGAGCGAGGAACGCCCGAGGGCAAGGGGACATGGCCAGCCCAACGGGCACCCAGTCCCACCCTGGTCAGCGATGCCAGCCAACAGCCTCCTGAGCTGATGCTGACCTTGGGGTGAGGGTCAAAGTCCGTCCCCGGCCCAGGGTCCCATCTGCCCTTCCGAGCCGCAAAGCCTTCCTAAGGAACCTGTGAGGGGAGAGAGCCCACACACAGTATCCATGGTCCAGGGCCCCGCACAGGGTAGAGGCCCAACGCAGGCGCAATGCAAGCAGCACCCCAGACATGAGGGCCCACGTCTCCCCTTCACAGTCAGGCCCCAGATTCCTACAGAAGGGCCTCGTCTTTTTCTTTCTGATGACGGAGTCCAGCTGGCCTGAACTTGCTACCCTCAGCCACCCAGGAGCTGAGACTGCAGGCGTGTGCCGCTGTGTGTGGCAGACTGAACGGCTCTGCGTGCAGCCTGGAAACAAGACCCACGAGTCAGCGTGACCAGCGTCCCAGTGGGCTGCACACTGAGGACAGCATCACTGCACGGGGAATTTGTCAGTGTGGGGGTCACGGTGATGGTCAGACCATGGTGCTCCCACACGGCACCAAAGCAGCCGCAGGTCCTCCTTCTGGTCCACACAGCAGTAGGTGGCGTTGTTTGCCAGATCCCAACTCTAACTCCCCTACCGAGGGAGCACCAGAAAAACCACCTCTCAGAGAGGCCTTTCACAGTCCCGTTAGCATTCGGAGAGGACGCCTGTGGGTCACGTGGATGCACACAGAGCCCGCACAGACAGCCCTGGGAACACAAGAACTCTCTCGCTCTCCACAGATGCAGACCTCCCCTAGGGGTCAGTGTGCACAAATGCACAGCAGAGCCAACTGTTTCTGCAAAGACATTTACCAGTCATAGGTCAGGACATCAATAAATAGGTCTCAGTAGTCCTTGGACAGAACATCAGGGCTCGCAGAGGAGTACGTACAAGTGAGAGGCAGTTTGGGCATCGGGCAGAGTCCTGGACTGTCTGCAGCTACCCCTGCCAGGAGGGCTCCTCCCCGCGGGGTGGGGGCAGTGGGGTGGCCTCCTCCTCCCCAGTCGCTTGGTTCTCCCTTTGGGCATCGATCCACCTCTGCGGAGCTATCATCTTTTTGGGCCCATAGGGCGGTGGGCCAATGAGTGCCTCAATGTCCTCATAGTTTATCACTTCCTTTTCCAGGAGGGCATCTGCCAGCTAGAAAGAACAAACAGAGCAGTGTGTGAGTCTCAGCGACAAAGACAAGACAAGAGCCTTTGAGAGCACAGCATCTGAGACAGGCTCTCATTTAACAGAGGGCCTCTGTCCTGCGAGGCATGTGGGGCCGTCTGTGAGCAGGACACCTCCGACGGGTCACTTTCCCAGGGAAGCTGAGGCGGAGGCAGCTCAGGCAAAGAAGAATCACTCCCTGTCTCACTCTGGAAACGCTCTCCCAGCTGCCAGCCTCGCTGCCTTCTCTACTTCCTTCCAGAATCTCGGCCTATTTCTAGCAGCTGCAGCTTCCTGCAGCACGTAGGGCGGCGTCCAGGAAAGGGGATGGCTGCGGGGCCTCCCGCTGGGCTAGGGTGCTGACCCGGCAGCAGGAGGCGGGCCTCCAGGCGGGGGCCTGGGAAGCACGCTGAGGGGAGCCCACAGCCACGTCCTCGCACTGGCTTCTTGCTGGCTGAGCCAAGACTCCCAGCCTCTTCCTTCTCTTGCCGCCCACAGCCTCACGAATGCCTTCCATTCCCCACTGACGCCCCAGCCACATTTTCTAAACAATGGTAACCCCGACACAGGTGGTGCCCCTATAGCCACTTGGCAGGGGACACAGGAGGGCTTCTGCCTGGCCCCCACTCATCACAACGTGCTATGGTGACATATGACGTAGATGATATCAGCCTGAGAAATCTAGAAGCCTAAGTAACTCAGCAGTTCTGCACCGTGGGGTGCAGAGGACACCCCCTTCCTGTAGCACACAGTTCATGGTGTCAAGTTGAGAAATTTACTTTTTTAAAAAATAATGTATTTAGTACAGGGTCCTCAGGGTCTCACTACACAGATCAGACTCAGTAATGCTCCTGTTTGCAGCCTCCCAAGCACTGGGATTACAGGCGCGCACCACCAAGCCCAGTCTCAATCCCCATCTCATTGTGTCCTGGGGGCAGGGCCAGCACAGCATGCTGGGGATTGAACTTGGTCTGGGTCTGCCTAAGTAGATGCTTTAATCTGCTGAGCTATCTGACCCTCCCTAGCCTAAGAAGTTAAGGCATTTAAATGACTCAGCAGGACCCAGGGTCCTCACTCTGTAAGCACCCTCAGCCTGTGCAAGAGGAGGGGATGGAGACAGCATGAGTGCCTCACTGGCCCTAGCCTGCTTACAGTTTGAGGGAGAAAAAGAGCCTTGCTCTCCCCCTTTTGCTCTTTTTTTTTTTTTATTGTTTAACTAATATCATTTTTCTCCCCTGGCAGTGTCTCTAAGACCTGTTTTTCTATGTACCAAATAGGGTGTTGGGTCAAACAGTGTTTACTGAATATAAAGTAAACCAGCCCCATGGGGAAGAAAGATCCAAGAACAGAGAATAATACAGATTAAATACCCACTTGTGCATTCACTCTTTTGCACGCCCCCCCCCCCATATCCAAGCTCCAACAGTGACAAACGCCTGCTTCCCCCCAGCCTGAGAGACAGGTGGCAGAAGGTGGTTTCAGAGCGGGGCTCCAGGATGGGTCCTACCAGCAGCAGTCTTCTCCCTCCCTACCCCTTGCCCTGCCCCAAGAGATCAAAGGCAGCTGGGTGGGGTTCCTAGAGGTAGCTGGCAGCTCTTCCCCACTCTGCCTCAGACGCTTCTTGGCTCGAATCTCATTCATGGCCCCTTCACCGGAACGTGTATTCCTCTTGCTGGCCACAGGCTCACAGCCATAGGTCTTCCTGGCCACATCCTTGGCTGCCGCCTTGCCAAGAAGGTGGCTGTACTTGTCCTCGTAGTCACCGGCAGGGCTCCCCACCGCAGGGCCCTGCTGGGCTGCCTGCTGCTGCTGCTGCTGCTGGGCCAGCTCCTTTAGCTCCCGCTTCTCCTCAGCCTTCTGGGGCTCCCGCTCCTCCTCTGCGCGGCAGCAGGATTCCAGCTCTCCATCTGAGGGTGCAAACTCCTTTCTGAAGATCGTGACACAGCGACAGTCATCATTTTCCCCGAAGGAGAAGGATGTCAGGCCCGCTACGTCCCACATCACGTGGTGTGCTCCTCTCCAGCTTCTTCGCAGGCTGAAATATTTTCTGGATCTGCCCACTGTCTTGGATGAAATCTGACGCTTCTTTCTCCATCCTTTTACAAAACTCTATTTTCTGTTGTTTCTTTTGCTCTTGTAGTTTCTTCAGATGGGCCTTGCGCCGCATCTCCTGGCCACCAAGGCTGGGTGGCTTCTCTATGGAGCTCAGAATGACGCCCAGGAGGTCCGCCATCTTGCAAGTCCCCCTCTTGCTCTTGTTGCTTTTGTGGCCTGCTGCCGCCTTGAGCTGTTGCCTCTCACCATGCCACCCTGCCTTGGAGCCAGCTGATTACAGGCTGAAACCTTCATCAACTATGAGCTAAATAAACTTCCTAGGACTGGGGATTTAGCTCAGTGGCACAGCGCCTGCCTGGCAAGCACACCCGGTCCTGAGTTCAGTTCCTGATACCAAATAAAATAAACCTTTCCTTCCTTAATTTTGGGTGTTATTTGGTCTCAGCAATGAGAGAAAAGAAACTAAGACACATCCCCACTCCGAGCCCTGGCTGCTAGGCAGTGCTGTGCCCCCAGGACGCACCTGGCTCGTAGGCGGAGGCTGGGGCAGCAGCCCCGGCCTGACGTTGCCTGGCTGGGGAGCTTTAGCGGAGCGAGAGAAGGCTGTTCCTCCGGCCTGTCTTCACGTGCTGCCAAGAGCTATCGCCCTTCCTGCGTCCTGGGCGGCAGTTCACAGAGCAGGCACACACCTCAGCCGACCTCTCAAACCCACTGCCCGGACTACCTCCTTGGGATAGCCAAGGCCACCAGGACAGGCTGAGACTGGGGAACTCACAGGTAAGAGAGCCCCAGGATGTGGCAGCCCCATGCTTTATGGTTCCTGCGCAGGAAGGGGCCACTGGGACTGGGAAAGCTGAGCACACACGAACCAAGCGTGGGCCGCCTCCAGGCAGGGTCCAGAGCCACGGAAAGTGTGTGCCAGAAGGGAGACAGACACAGGGCGTGCAGGCAATCTGCACCACGCTGGCAACTGTTCTATACCTTGAAAAGGTTCTAAAATTGAAAAAGCTTCTTGGAGCTCGGCATGGTGGTGCGTGCCTCAGGAGACAGACAGGAAAATCAGCAAGAATCTGTGCTGCGCCTGGGCTACACTGCGCTCAGAGCAGGCCTGAGCTGCATAGCGAGACGCTGTCTCCAAGTAAGTATTTGTTTTCTTTCTTTTCTTTTTTTTTTCTTTTGTGGAACTGGGGATTGAACTCAGACCCTTGCACTTGCCAGGGAAGTGCTTAGTCTGCTAAGTCATCTCCCGGCCCTGGTTTGTTTTCTTGAGACAGGGTCTCTCTATGCAGTTCAGGCTGGCTTTCAGCTCGCTTTGTAGCCCAGGCTGATCTCAAACTTGCAACAATCCTCCTGTCTCAATAATTTTTTTTGAAAAAGTCTAGACAGAGCTGACAACAGGCTATAACAACCAGCACTGGTCATGTGCATGCCCTGCTGGGAAGGGGCTGGATGCCTTGGCTCAGGTCAGCACCCTGCAAAGCCGGCCCCGTGCCACACCCATGCCACTCACCGCCTGCAGTTTGTCCAAGTTCTCCAGAAGCACCTTCTCCGTGTGCCGGTAGGCCTTGGCCACCAACAGCTTTGCCTCCTGTAAAGCCAAAGAGGCAGCTGTCAGCCAGACCCGCTGCTATGTGCAGAAAAGACAGGACAGGCTTGTAGCAGGCCCCCCGTCCCTCGTCACGAGCAGTGGCCCCGCTCTGTCTGACTCAGGGTGCCCTGCTCTTCCTGCTCACCTGCCACCACCCACACTGCAGGCAGCATCCAAAGGACCCTGGCTGTCCTCTGTACCTCGGCTGCTACACGAGCAGCTGCAGCTGCCCCAGCACAGGCTGGTACCATCCTGGTGTACCTTGCTGGCCACAGGCCCCCTGGGGGCTGGCTCTGCCACTCAGAATGTCTGACAGCCGCCCCACAGCTTCATCTGGAGCCACAACACCTGCGGGCAGGGATGGCAGTGCCAGGCAACTTACATGGTCCATCATCTGCTGGAGGCCCTGGCTGAAGGGGCGCCGCCCAATGCCTGTGAGGCCCTCCTGGGCCTCAGGGAAGGAGACCGGCCCGACGGTGGGTGCCATCCCAAACTGCTTCACCATGGAGTAGGCAATGCGAGTGACCTTCCTCAGGTCATCCTGGGCCCCTGCAATATGAGTGGAAAAAGGAGGGGACCCTCAGGAGCCAGCACAGCAGCACCAGCCCTGGGCGGCAGGGCCACAGCTCCCCCCAGGGAATCCCTGTGACCGGGACACCCGTCTCTTGTTACTGTTCTGGAAGCAGTCAGCCTCGCAGATGTGCCTGGCTTTGCAATCAACTGCTGAGGCCACTAGAGGTTCTCACACCAAGACCAGGCCTGAACCAAGTCCCTGCCAACCTCAAGCCTGAAGTCTCTGGGACAGGCTAGGGCCCTGTGACTTCTCTAGATAGCGCAGCGGAAAGCCAGCCTGGGATCAGCTGCTGCAGTTTTATCCAGTTCTGTGTAGCGATGACTGAGAATTAACCAAATACATTTTAATGTGCCACTGGGAACCAAAACCAGGGCCTTAGGGCTGGCCAGATAGCTCAGTGGATTAAAGCGCCTGCTTAGGCAGATGCAGGGACCAGGGTTCGATCCGTGGCATGCCATGCTGGCCCTGACCCCGGGTCGCACTGAGATGGCAATTGAGACTGGGCATAGTGGCACACACCTGCAATCCCAGTGCTTGGGAAGCTGAAAACAGGAAGATCGCTACAAGTCCAATCTGTACTGAGACCCTGTAGACCCTGTACTAAACCTCCACCCAAAACCAACCAAACAGGGCCTTGGGCATGTAAGGCAAGAGCTCTGCCCCAGAGCCCCAGCCCCAGTGAGTGCATCTGCAGTCTGTGTACATGTGAATCTGTGTTGTATATGCCTCTCCTCAGTTCACCCGCCACAGACAAAGGGCAGGAGGGCTCTTGGACTGGGCCTCACCAGAAGTGACCCGGCTGAAAGAGATGGCCTCCGCCGCACGGCCACCCAGGGCCATGCACATGCGCTCGAACAGCTGCTCGGTAGTGAGGAGGTGCTGGTCCCGGGGCAGCATCTGCGAGAAGCCCAGCGCGGCGTTGGTGCGCGGTGTGATGGAGACCTGCAGGGGGCGAGGTGGTCACGCCGGCAGGAAGTCGCGTCCTGCTCTCACGCAGGCTGGCCTGTCACAGTCAGCTCTTGTTTGATTTATTTACATCACCCCATTTTTGTTTTTGTCTTTTTGAGACAAGGTCTCACTAAGTAGCTCAGGCTGGCCTTGAGCTCACTTTGTAGCCCAGGCTGGTCTCAAACTCGCAATGATCCTCTTGCCTCAGCCTCCTGAGTGCTGGGATTACAGGGGTGCACCACCATGCCCAGCACTATTTTTTTAATTATTATTTTTTATCACCCCATTTTTAGAACAGAAAGGAATCCTAACACCAACTTGGAGCACAAAGGGCTCCCAACAGGTGTCTTACTCATCACAGCCTGCGCAGGAAGCGACCACAATGGAGGTGCTGGACAAATCCTGCCCCAGCAGTCGCGCTGACCCTTACAGGTGCCAGGAGAGAAGAGCCCTTCCTACCCACTCTGCGGCTTTGAACCTACAGAACCCATGGCCCGGAGCAGCTGGGGAGGAGCGGCCCGTGCTCCATCGGATGACCAGGCAAGGCCTGAGCACTCTGGGGGAGCCTAATGACCCCAGCGCAGGCCAGGGCTGCAGTTATATCCCAGAGGCAGAGCACCTGCCTCCTCTGCACAGGGTTCTGGATTCCATCACTAGCGCCGGAAAACCCTCCAGAACCAAGTTGCACGATGCATCCTGCTGATCACAACGACCAGAGACAGTAGCACTTCTGCAAAGGACAGTGCCGAGGTATCTACCTTGGAGCCACTGACTAAAAGGAAAATCTGAGGATGAAGAGAAATTCAAATTCTGAAGTTTTAATCATCTTGGGATTTTCTGAGTTAACTTGGATTTTCTAAGCTGTTGTTCAGCTTCGATGCTGGATCTCCCAGGGCTTGCTAGACTGCCGCCCCCACCTGCCCAGCTGGCCCTGACCACAGGAAACACTTGGAGCATGGAGTGTTGAAGGCTCGGGTTCCTGTTGGCACAGGAGGTGGAGCCTGGTGGCTTCCTTGGGCTGTGCCAGGGCACGGATCCTAACCCTAACCCACACCAGGTCCTGGGGGAGCAGGTGGACCCGCACCCCAGCTGTAGTCCACACTTCCCAAAGCAAGGTCTGCCATCCACACATGGGCCCACGGGCTCTCCGGAAGCTGCCTATAGCACCAGCGCTCAGTCACCTGTGGGAGGGGGGTTTCCACTGCGTGCCTGCAGCTCGCACAATGTGCTGGCTTCAGGGCAGCGGGGCGCACGGTGAGCGGCGCAACCACAGCAGTCACTGCAGCCATGGCTCAGAGGTGACCCGCGTTCCTCTCACCCACCTTCATCACAGCCTCCGTGTGCTCCAGCAGCCAGCCCACCAGCGCATGGCCAGACTCATGGAAGGCCACCACCCTCTGCTCCTCCCTGGAGAGGACCTTGCTCTTTCTGGCTATCCCTGGAAGAAGCAGAGCCCAGTGAGACTGGCCTCCCCTTGGCCTGCCCTAGCCCTTTGTGCCCAGCACTTTGGCAGCTCTGCCTGGCTTGGGGCCTCTTGCACCAGCTGTCACTGCTGGCACCCCCACTCCAGGGGATGTTGGGAGGAGAAAAGACAAAGAAGCCAGATCGCTCCCTCCTGTAAATGGAAGCACAGAACCACCACCCCTGTAGTAAGCCCTCCTGTCCTGCCTTCCTGAGGGGCTGGGCTCAGGAAGACTGCCTCTGGCGTGGTCACTGACTCTATACAAGGTCTCCGCTGAGGGCTGGGGAGATGGCTCAGTAGAATAAGTGCTTGTCTGGCAAACACAAGGGCATGAGTTCAATCCCTGGTTCCACAAAAAAAAAAAAAAAAAAGGGAGAAATAGTCTTTGCATGTCACCCTCCAAGGTCTCCGCCGAGGTCACTCACTGCAGCCCTGCTCTACAGCTTATCAGCTGACTCCCTCGTCCCTGGGGCAATACTGGGTAATTACATGCTCAAACATTGGTGGAACTGCATCGGATCCAAACTCCAAACACCTCTGGGTTCTACTTAATGTACCCTGAATAGGCTCTAGGCTCCTGGCACTCGGGAGGTGGGACTAAATTCACTGAAGACACAGAGGTAGGAGGGTAGCACTGCAGTGGAGACCACGGCCCTCCAAAACCTGCTGCGACTGAACAGAGATGCAGGCAGCTGGGCGCTGGCAGTGGGTGTGGGTGGGGACCCCCATTAGCAGGTCACACACGGGAAGCAAGGTCCTACTATGACTGTATTGTTGCTTTTTGGAGACAGGGTCTACGTTCCAGGCTGGCCTCCCACTTGAGGTCCTACTACCTCAGTGTCCCAAGAGCTGGCTTTGGCATGCACAGCACGCGCGCTGTGCCACAGGATCCTGGGGCCCTGCCACTCCCCTGAATCTCTCCTGCCTGATACTGTGGTTGTAACAGTGCCCAAAGGACAAGCTGCCTGGGGCGAGGAGTGGGTTCTGCCTCCTCCAGCCACCCAGGTGCCCCGTGTCCCCAGGACACGCCCCTGCAAGGACAGCCTGCGGGGGACTCTGGACTTCACCTAGTGCCAACGGCTCTTTCTAATGTCCCTTCACCTCAGGCTACTGCACAGGGCTGCAGAAGCTTCAGGAGGGCCCCAGGCTTGCCCCAGCTCTTCAGCACCTGAGCAACCACTGGGAGAAGCCCCACCTGCTGCCCAACCACCTCCTGGCCACAAGCACTGGGAAGAGAGTGGGCAGAGCTGGAGTCCCTGGTGCAGCAGCCTTGACCTACCCCAAACACAGCTGCCCTGGCCCCTGGCGGTGGAGGCAGCTCCCACCTGGGCTGCAGGCCCGTGTCTTTGGAGTGCGCCTGTGTTGGGAACCCTGCAACATCCCACACTGAGGAAAGGTGAGAATTCTTCACTATTTATAAGGCGACTTTGAGCTGGGACCCACTCTACCTCCCACCTGATTTTAGTTTTGTGGTGTTCTGGGCCACTCTAGCGGAGGACACAGACTTCCGGAGCGCCAGCCCTACCTGCCACCACCCGCTCCACAGCATACTCAAAGTCTAGTGTGTGCACTGATGCGTGCCCCTCCCGGGCGGCGTGCAGCGCAGCCTCGTTGCAGATGTTGGCGATGTCGGCACCTGCAACACAGACAAAGCCTGGCGGCTGACGGACCAAGGAGCAGGGGGGGCGAGACGCGGCCGGCTGGGTGCTGTGGGCAGCGGGAAGCAGGGGCAAGCACAGAGGGGCGTCAGAGCAGGACCATGGCGGGGGAGCAGCTGCCCAAGGAACGGTCTCCCCCGCACCCTTGTGACACTGCTGTGACCACCAGTATAGGCCTCTGTCATCCTGTGCTTCACTCTGCCATTTCACTGGGGCCTGATGGATGTGACGCCAGGGCGTGGAGACTACCCGACGTCAGGGTAAGAGGATTTTTGTCTACACTGAGTTTTTGGTCTGGGACTGGGCACAGACCCAGGTCCTGCAGAGTGAGGGACCCAGCCCCTCACTCTCTCTGATGGACCCGCGCACTGGGGATCACACTCAGGGCCTCAGCATGGTAGCAAGGGCACACCCTGAGCCCTATCCCCACCCCCTTATTTATTTTTTGAGGTGGAGTCTTGCTAAAGCCACTAAATTATCCAGGCTTGGCTTGAACTTGTGACCCTCGTGCCTCAGCCTTCTCCTCACCCAGTCTGGACTGGAAGTTCCTGAGTGACACCCAGGTGATGGTCACAACAATGCCCCAAAGGCGGAAGCACAGGACCACTCTGACAGACACTGATGAACATGAGGGTGCCCTGATAGCTACCTACAGTCAGCGTGGCCACAGACTGCTGTGGGGAGGAAGAGTGCTGGCCACAGTCCCGTCCCCTAGGCCGGGTGGCCGGCACCCCAGTGGCAGTAAGGGGCTCCCTCAAGCAGGTCGGAGCCCACCTGCAGCGTAGAGGGCATGGGCCCAGAACATACCACTGAACCCTGGCGTCAGCTCTGCCAGGCGCTGCGAGTAAAAGGTGCTGTCCTGGGTCAGCTTCAGGCCCTTCAGGTGCTGCTCGAAAATCTCCCGCCTCTCCTGCCAGGTGGGAGACAAGGGCTGGACAAATGGCCTGGAACAGTGCTGGGGGCCCCTGGGGGCCCAGGCCTTGTGCCTGGCAGGCAGTGTTCACCGTCCTACCCACAACCCATGGTCTGGGACAGCAATGGGAGGGCTGCAAGCAGTTTACAGAGAAAGAGACTGAAGAGGAAGCCTCCCACACACCCTGGACGCCTTTCCATATGCCTGGCCACACCTCTGCCTGAGAGAAGAGGAAGCGTCCCAGGCTGCACCCAGAACACGTAACACACCTAACATACATAGCAGAACCTCCCTGTTCTTGTAGTTATCAGGATTGAACCCAGAGGCTTTCTGCTAAGCTATATCTCCAGCTTTTTTAAAATGTTGAGCCAAGGTCAGGGTGTTACCCAGGCTGACCTCATGCTTTCAATTACCCTGGCTCAGCCTTCCAGGGTGTTGCAATGACAGGTGTGTAGCGCCTGGCTACGATGTCCTTTTTTTCTCCCAGAGACTTAGATCTCAATATGTAGTTCATGCTGGCCTTGAACTCACAGCAATTGTCCTGCCTCAGCCTCCTGAATGCTGGGACTACAGACATGTGCCACCATGCCCAGTTTAGAATTTCCTTCCTAAAAAATTTTTAAAGCCAGGCATGGGGTGCACACCTGTAATCCCAGTGCTTGGGAGCCCAGCACCACAGGAGGATCACTGCAGGCTTAAAGCCATCTCAGGCAGCAGAGAGAGTTCAAAGCTAGGCTGAACTACATAGAAAGACCTTGTCTCAAAAAAACCCAAAACAAATCCTAAAAAATTAATGTTAAAATGAAAATACATAAGCCCAAGTTTAATAAATAAGAAAAGCCACTGTAATCTCAGCACTCAGAAGGCTGAGCAAGGAACCGCCGTGAGGCCAAGGTCAGCCTGAATGGCATCGCTGCCGCCCCTCTGGAAAAAGACAAGCCACGCCAGCTTGGTCACCATGAACACGTCTCCACAGGCACCAGGCAGAGAGCGGGGTAGGATACTCTGTTACCAGCATCACTGGGTTTACTCTCAGGCCCTAGGTGGGCGCATCGTCAGAGCCCTTCCAGCAGCAGCCTGCGAGTGGCAGGCCCAGGGCAGAGCTGGACCTGTACTGTGCCTTCGCTACAGGGGTCTGTTGTCCCTGACACAGTGCAGAACATCTGCAACCCAGTCAGGATGAGCAGTGCCAAAACTCACACTGGCCAGGGCCCCCTGCGCCTCCTGGGTGCGGGCCAGACACGCGTGCTCTCTCCCAGCACCCAGTGCTCCCCAGTCAGAGGAGCAGCTGTAGTGGAGCCCGCACCTTGCTGCACTGAGCGACAAAACTGGCCGACCAAGCCCAGCTCTGCTCCCTCCCCAGGGCTTCTGCTCTGGTGGAGCCAGTCCAACCAGGGCCTGTGGACAGGAGGTCATTCAGAGAAGTCACAGGTGCTAGGACAAGCCTCCACCTGTTCCGGGGCAAATCAAGTTCTTCAGTTTGTGGTACTGGGATCAGAGCCCAGAGTGTCACACATGCAGGTGTGCTACCACTGAGCTACACCCTAACCTTTGAATTAAAAAAAAATTGCTTTGAGATAGGATCTCACTATCTCAGGCTGGCCTGACTTAAAGTGATCCTTGCCTCAGCCTCTTGAGTGCTAGGATTGCAGGTGTGTACCACACGCTGGGCTCTAAAGTTTTCAAATTCTAAGACAAGGTCTTGCTAAGTTTTCTAGTTGGCCTCAACTTGCATTCCTCCTGCCTCAGCCTCCTAGGGAACTGGCGTTACAGGTACGCACCATCACATGGGACAAAGAAAAGCTCTGAAGAGAACTCGGAGCACAGCAAGGCTCCTCACAGAGCCTGGCTGGGGCACAGAGGATACACAGGGTAGATTTTCCTTCACATTAGACCACCAACCCCAACCAGAAAGTCAAGGGCAGCAACAGAATAAGTGAAGCCAGCTGCCAACCCAGCAAGGGCACCAGGTCAGGTGTAGGGCACCAGAAGGGGAGTGTGTTCCGGAAGTGTGGCTGCCCACATCCCCGGCTGCCCTGGCTCCCCAGTCCTCACCTGCAGAGTGGGCAGATCAATGAAGACATGCCGGTCAAGTCGGCCAGGCCTCATCAGAGCGTTGTCTAGGATGTCAGCTCGGTTTGTGGATGCCAGAACGATGACATGGTCTGTAGTACCCATTCCTGGGGACAGACAGGCACAGGGGCCTTCAGGATGGGGCACTGGTTCCCTCTGCCTGGTAGAAGGGCAGTGCCATGCAGCACCCCACTGTCCTCCTGGGAAGCACCCTAAGCCAAGGTACCTTGACTGTATCTAAGGCCCCATCTTCAGTAGCTGGCCCCTAGCCTTGGCCCTAGACCAGCTTCTTGGCCAAGAAGCTACCTGTGGGTTCAAAAAGCCCTGTATGACAACACAGGCCTACAATCCCAGCTACTCAGTAGGCTGAAACAAAAGGATTATGAGTTCAAGGCCACCTAGGCAACTTGGTGAGGGCCTGGATCTCAAAATAACACCCCAAAAAGTGGGTTCAGAAACTTATTGGCTGGGCATGATGGTGAACACATGTGACCCCAGGGCTTAGGAGGCTGAGGCAGGAGGAACATCTCGAGCTCAAGGCCTGGGCTACAGTGAGACCCTGTCTCAAAACTGACAGGTTCCGGCCCTACTATGAATTGCTGAATTATTATGGTGGTCATCTAACATGGCTGAAGCCCCTAAAACAACAGCTTACCTCCCAGAGACCACCTCCCACCTTCTTCTCCAACTCAGCCCAGGGTGCAATTTCCTCTCACCTTTCGCACACCCAGGAGACCCCAATCAGCTCCTTACATGTAATAAAACTGACCCTCCAACTCCTCCCCAGCGAAAGTGCACAGGAGCCCCAGCTTTGTCTCAGGCCAGAGGAGCTGCGCCACCTGCCCTCGATCCTCTCCGTGTCTTTGGAGTTAATAAAGGCTTCTTTTACCTCTCTTATCTCTTTACTGTGCTGCTGAAAAGATCTATCAAAAACAACATTAACAAAAACAGAGTAAGAGGGGTGGGACATTGCTCAGTGGCACAGTGCCTGCCTGGCAAGCCCAAGGTCCAGGGTTTGATTCCTGGTGCCAAAAAAAAAAAAAAAAAAAGCAACAACGAAATGCCCACTACAAGGACTCAACTTCCCTGCCAGGCCTGCCCTAAACTCGGAGAGGACTAACCCGCCCCGTCTCTAGCTTTGTCATTCTGATGTCACTGAACTGGAAGCGTGCTGTGTGCAGGCTTGGAGACTGGCTCCTCAGCCAACAATCCCCACACTGAGCTGAGCAGGCTGGGAGCTTATTTTTTCTTTTATTTTTGGATGGGGTCTCACTAGGTGGTCCAGGCTGCCCTTGAACTCTCAGTCTTCCTGGCTCGGCCCTGAGTGCTAGCTGGGCGTACGGGCGGGGAGGACACACCCTGCTGGAACTTTTAGTTTTATGGCTGTATTGCACATAGTAAGGAAAGACCACAGTTTAATTATTTGCCCACCGAGGGACACTGGTGCTATCTGAGGACGTAGCCACTGCAGGAAAATAACACTGTGGTGCAGGTAGCTGGCATGGCCTGCTCTGTGTCCCAGGGTGAGGAGTGGGCAGGCCAGCCCACCCGCAGACAGGAGCCAGGTTCTCTGCATCTGGGAAGCACTGGTGCTGTCTGAGATCTACGTCTAGGCACCCTGTAAGTGTTCCCGTCAAATTCAGCATGAGAAGGCACATTCTAAAACGGATGTGGGCGGCTGGGGACATAGCTCAAGGAGCACAGAGCTTGCCTGACAAATGTGAGGTCCTGAGTTCTATTCCCAGCACCAAGGAAAAAAAAAATCCTGCTGGGGATACAGCTCAATAGCACAAGCGCCTGCCTGGCAAGTACAAGGTCCTGAGTTAGATTCCCAGCACCAAAAAAAAAAAAAAAAGTAAAACTGATTTGGGCCAGGCGTGTCGGATGCCTCTACTCTCAGCATTTGGAAAGCTGAGGTGGGAGAACTGCAATGTTTGCATCCAGCATGAGCCCCCCATGAGTTCAAAGCCAGCCTAAATAGGGCCAGCAAGACAGCTCAGTGGACTAAGCACCTGCTTTGGCAAGTGCAAGGACCAGGGATCAATCTCTGATCCCGAATGCCACACCGGCCCCACCCTGGGGCGCTGGTGACCAAGTCCAGGTGTGGTGGCACACGCCTGTAATCCCAGCGCTGGGCAAGCTGAAAACAGAATCACTACAAGTCCAAGCTGCATAGAGACCCTGTACCGAATACATAAATTAAAAAAAAAAAAAGCCTGAACTACATTGTAAGACCCTGTCTCAAACAAGCAGAACAAAACAAAAAAGGAACCGACATGACAAATCTGTGTGAAACCCTAGATTTAATCTGTGGCACTGCAAAACAAATGAACAACCACAAAGTCTAGGATAATCCACAAGAAAATCTTTAGGCTCTAGTAAGAGCAACGAGATCTTAGTCTCCACACTAAAATCAAAATCTCATCATCAGGATGTCATGGAAACAAACACTCCTGAAGACGAGGAAGAGTGAAGAGCCAGCGGTGTCAGAGCTCTACCCGAGGCCCAGAGCAGGGCCTGCTCCAGACCCCCAGCCCGCTGCCCCCTCTCGGCACCAGGCAGACCCCCTGCTCCCTGCAGAGCCAAGCCAGCCACCTGAGACCTCTGCGAGCCCTGCAGTGGCCACGGCCTCACTGCCCAGTGGCCTGTCCAGACAGGGGCCTGGCACAGTGGCCGGAGCAGTGGGCTTCTCTAGCACAGAGGCCCTCACCTCGCCTCTGGGGACAGCTGACAGCTCTGAAGGTGCCCGGGCAGGGTCTCCCCTTCTCCCACAGATGTGCACACAGGATAGCAGGGGCTGCACATCTGTCAGATACCAACTCTTCCTGGGCCTGGGCTGTGGCTAATTCAAGCCACAGAGAGCGAGGCGGCAGCCCCACTGTGCCCCCATGGCTGGCACGCAGCAGGGCGGGGGTGGAATACTGCCGAGGCTCCTGTGCAGGTTCATCCGTCTTCTCCTTTCCCAGTATCCCAAGCTCAATGCCCCGTGGAGGGGCAGGATGGCTACTCTGACTCAGGCCTCAGTTTCATCTGTTTCCTAACTTACTTTAATTAGGATTTTCACCAAAAGCTGGGTACTCATTTATAATCCCAGCACTTGGGAGGCGGGAGGCTGAGGCAGGGGGATCAGAAGTGTAAGGGCAGCCTGGGCTGCACAATGAGCTGAAGGCCAGCCTGGATTACCCAAAACCAAACCCAAGCAATACCTCAGTGTGCAGCAGTGGGTCACTCTTGCTAGCCAGGTACAGTGGTACTGCTGTCTGACACGCTAGCCTGGCGCATGCAGGGGAAGCCATGGGCACAGTCTGAGAGCTGGCACCAGCTCACTTGTGGGGTGTGACACACACGGCTGCCCCTGGGCTGCACTCTGCTTCACTGGGCCGCATGCTGTGCCCACGTCATATCCGCCTGGCTGCCACTATCGGGGTGGCCCAGCGTGTAGCCATCCTGCCTCTCCACGGGGCACTGAGCTTGGGATACTGGGAAAGAAGATGGATGAGCCTGCAGTATTCCACCCCTGCCCTGCTGCGTGCTAGCCACGGGGGCACAGTGGGGCTGCCTCGCTCTCTGCGGCTCCAATTAGTCATAGTAAACATCAGTTTACTTTCTTCCTTTGTTTTATGGTGGTGGAACTCAAACCCGGAGCCTTGAAGGTGCTAGGTGAGTGCTCACCAAGTCCCGGATTCCTACAGCTCCGTGTGAACTCAGTGTTCCCAACCTCCACTTCACGGCACTGGGCACTGGCTGCATAAGACTCAGCCCAGGCCCTCCCACGCAGGTCCAAGAGCCACAGCGCCCCACCTCTGCTGGGCTCCTTCTGGGACCAGCCCAGCATCTGCCAGCACTGCCCTCCACACCTCGATGAGCGTAAGACAGAGGTCTGCTTAGAGCAGCTGCAGGGCCCGGACGCGCAGCTCTGTGGCTCCCGGGCCTGTATTAGTGTGCCCAGGCAGCACCAGCTCTGGGGTGAAGAGACGCTTTCCACGGTGCAGAGGACAGCTCCAAGGAGCGCAGCTCTGATGGGTGCAACTCGGGGCCCATTTGCTGGGGGGAGGGGGCCTCTGCCTCAAGTGCAAGAGGAGGAACAGCAAGACCTGCACCTGCAGCTGCGTGCCACGGCAGAAAGTGGCATCTGATTGCCCCATGGCCACCAGGAAGGGTGCTTGGTTGCTATGCAGGGAGAGCAATGTGGCCCAATCTACTGCACACAGGCACCCGGGTAAGGCCACGGCACCCTCTGACCCACGGGCCAGGACGGGGTAACCCCCAGCACCACTGAGGCAGTGTGTGTACAGCCAGCCAGGCACCTAAGGCCCTAGCAGACTGTCCCACTCCTGTCCAGTCAGCATCATGAGATGCACACTCTGTACTGGTACAGGCAACAGGGCCACCCTGGAACAGATCCCAGACACACTGCCTGCAGGAAGCCCTGGACCCCTGCCTCCCTTGAACTGTCCCTGGCTGGGAAACCCAGGGCTGGGAGCGAAGCTCTTTTTTGCAGTGTTGGGAATAGACACGACACTTTATGATGTAGGCTAGGTAGGTAAAAGCAACAACCCCAGATTTTTTGTTTGTTTTGCGGTACTGGGGATTGAACTCAGGAACCTGTGCTTGCCAGGCAAACACTTATTCTACTAAGCTATCTTCCAAGGCCCCCCCCCTTTTTCTTTTGAGTCAGAGCCTAAATTGCCCCCAGAGACATTCTGCCCTCTGTGGCCTCGTCTCCCACATGCACATGCTGTCACACATGCACAACTGGATGGCAAGGGACAGGAGCAGGCAGGTGTGGGCAGCCCAGGCCCAGCCTTCTCTCTCTGGGTAGGAAGGAAAGCCACCAGCTGTGGCTGCTGCCACATGTCTCAGATTGCATCCTGTCCTAGAGCTGCCCCATAGCTGAAACACACAGTGCCACCAACTGCTGGGGCACCACAAACCCACCGCAGCGCCAGCCTCAGCCCACGCTGGGACACAGAGCAACTCACAAGAGATGTGGCTATAAAACATGTCACGACCGCAGGGATACAGGAAGGACTAGAGAAGACTCGAGAAACATAATACAAGTGACTGCCCTAGAACGGAGCGGTGGGACCAGAGTGTGCACCACGCACTGGTTTATACCACCAAGGGGCAAGGTGCAAAGAAGCCTGTACTACATCGGCAGTGGTGTTGCTGGCTTCCTGCTGGTTTTGGAGAAGAGTCTCACTAAGTCATCCAGATTGGCCTTGAATGCACCGTGGAGCTCAGGCTGGCCTGGACCTTGCCGCAACCCTCCTGCCTCAGTCTTCCAGCTGTTAGGGTCACAGGGACGGGCCACCACACTCAGAGCACGCCTGCAATGTTTCACAAAGTCTAAATTATTCCAAAACAAGGTTAAAGAGGTTTTAACTTGACTTCGTGCAATCACAACTCTGCTGCACATGCGCTGGGCACCAGATAACCACTCGGCACAGTAAGCAGCACTTAAAAGGAACACCACACCTGGGCGTGGTGGTGTGCGTCTGTAATCCAGGCACTGGGGAGGCAGAGGCAGGGATGCAGGTTCAAGGCCAGCCTGGGCTGCAAGGTGACTCTGAGGCAGCCTGAGCTCTGTAATGTGACCTTGTCTCAAAAATCAGAAAAACAAAGAAAGCCCCAAACCTTGGGAGGCTGAGGTAGAAGGCCCTTAAGATTGAGGCCAGCTTGTATGATTTAAGAGGACAGTAACTAAAAGTTACAAATAAAACGAGCTGGACGTGTAGCTCAGTGGTAAAGCATCTGCTGGTCCAATCCTAGGTTGGGCAAAAGAAAAGATGTGGGTAAGTGTCTCAGGAGTAAATATACCTTGAGGAAAAATGTTTTCCTAACCTATAATGCCTAAAATGTAGCCAGAATTTGGTGAAAGAAACTAAAACTGGAAAACTTAAGCAAACTTGATTTTTTGGTTTCAGTGCTAGGGTGGAACTCAGGGCCTCGCGCACGCTAGGCAAGAGCTGGAACCGAGCCACACCTTTAGCCCACCCTTTATTTTGAGACAAAGTCTCACTAAACTGCCCAGGCGGGTCTCGTTTGTCTGTGAGGCAAGTTTTCCTTATGTACTTCAGACTGCCCTTGAATTCACTATGTAGCCCAGGCTGGCCTCAAACTTCTGGTGACCCTCGCCTCAGCCTCCTCAGTGCTGGGATTATAGGCTTGCACCACTACGCCTGGCTCTGGCTCCCTTCCTCAGCCTCAAGAGTAGCCGGGATTGCAGGTATGCACCACCACGCTGGGTTTAGGGCAGGCACTGCTCTATGTTCACAGGAACACAGGACTGTGACACACAGCAGCGCCGGCTGGCTCCTGACAGGTGAGTGAATAAGCAAGACGCACACGGGCGTGCGCACCCACGGCCCAGCACCGGAGAGGCCGAGGCGAGAGGGTTGCTGCCAGTCTGAAGCCAGGCTGGCTACAAAGTGAGTCCGCGGCCAGCCTGAACTGTGAATCCCTGTCTCAAAAAGACAGAAAAGAGGGCTGGGGAGATGGCTCAGTGGAATAAGCACTTCCCTGGTAAGTGCAAGGGCCTGAGTTCAATCCCTGGTTCCACCAAAAACCAAAACAAACCAAGGGGCTGAGGGATAGCTCAGTTGTATAAAGCGCGTGCTTGGGCAAACTCTGTCAGGTGCAGGGGACTGTGGTTCGATCCCCAGCACCACATGCCTCACCGGACCAGCCCATAAGGCAGGCCTAGCCAGCCAAAAACAGAATAAAACAAAACAAAAGAACCACTAAACTAAGATCAGCCAGTTGTGATGGTGTACGCGTGTAATCCCAGCACTAGGGAGGTGGAGGCAGGGCATCACTGTGAGGTGAGAACAGCACAGGCTACAAATTGAGCTCGAGGCCAGCCTGAACTGCGTAACAAGACCCTGTCTCAAAAAGACAACAAATAAGGGCCGGGGAGATGGCTCAGTGGAATAAGCGCTTCCCCGGCAAGCACAAGGGCCGAGTTCAATCCCTGGTTCTGCCAAAACAAACAAACAAAAACAATTAAACAAATAAAGTTGAAAAAAAGGCAGCCTTGCTACACAAGGAGGTATTACTTAGCCATAAAGAGACGGCAAAATTGGGTATGACGGTGCATGCCTCAACTCTCAGCACTCTGGGCAGATGAAGGAAGACTACAAGGACAGGGCAGCCTTGAACTCCTTACTTTCCTGCCTCAGTCTACTGGCGCGGCTGGGACTACAAGTATGCACTGCTGCACCTGGCTAAGAGCTGCGTTTTTGCAGGCAGCAAGGTGATGGGTAGTGTCAGACCATGGGAGATCTCTGCCCTTCACCTTCCTTGGGTACATGAGGCCAGCAACACCCACCCCAGAGGAGAGGAATGAGGCGGCCTGTGGTGCAAGTTCACGTGTCCCGTGAAGTCTGATCAGGTGAAAGGACTGGGGCAGCAGGCGGCATGCAGACACTCACCGTCCATCTCCACCAGGAGCTGATTGAGGGTCTGTTCCTCCTCTGTGTTGGAGAAGCCAGACATGGAGGTGGAGCGCTTCTTGCCCACCGCATCAATCTCATCGATGTACACTATGCACGGGGCTCGCGCTCTTGCTTCCTTGAAGAGGCTGCGCACCCGGGCAGCACCCAGGCCTGAGGGATAGCGCATTGTGAGGAGATGGACAAAGGGAGAGGAATTCTACCTCTGCACGGAGCCGGGTGCAGCTTCTACCAGGGATGCCTAAAGCAAGAAAAGCCCTGCCTGCAGTTAGACCCAAAGTGGCTGCTGTCACCTTCGTGGCCTTCTAGGCCACGTGGAAAGCAGCATTAAAGCATATAAAGCTCAGGCCACCCTGTGTTTAATTCAGACTGTGTTTCCAGGTCTAACCCCTTCAATTTGGCATGGGGGAAGGACCAGGAAGAAGCTGACAATCCCAGCCACAGTCCTACTGGCACTTACCTCCAATGACCTCCACAAACTCCGGGCCAGCCATTGCCAGGAAGGGCACCTGGGCCTCTGTGGCCACCGCCTTGGCCAGCAGCGTCTTCCCGCATCCGGGAGGCCCAAGCAACAGCGCGCCCTTCGGAACCTTGGCTCCAAGCTGGAGGAAGCGCTCAGGACTCTAGACAGCAGCAGACAATGTAACACCCCCACCACGTTCACGGACAAAGGGCACTCGTGTACCCAGCAACTTGCTGTACTTGCCAGGGCTCTGGGCCAAGCACGGTGATCAAGTGGCCATCCAGCTGCAATCACGGCCCTCCCGTTTGCTGACAACCACAAGCTGCCATGTTGCCAGTTCAGGGAACTGGCACGTGTTCCAGTCACCTGGCTTCCTTCTAGGATGCCAGCCGCCCACTCACCTTCAGATAATCCACAAACTCCCGGACCTCCAGCTTGGCCTCATGCATGCCAGCCACGTCCTTGAAGCTGACTCCTTTCCCCGACGTGCCATCCACCATCGTGAAGCGAGCCATCTTAAGCTGGTTCTGTGCACGCGGAGTGAGGGACACTGGTGGCCACTGTCCACCTGAGCAGACTATGGCCCCTGCGGGCCCCAGGGGACTCCACCCACAAGAGGTCACTGTTGCCTTATATCACTGATCAGTAAGAAAGTTTCCCAGAAATTTATTTTTTAAAAAATCCTGTCGGGGCCAGGGAAATAGCTCAGTAGAAGAAGCACTTGCCTGGCAAGCACGAGGTCCTGAGTTCAATCCCCAGTACCAAAAAAAATAAAAATCCTGTCCTGGGGCTGGGGGTGTAGCTCAGGGTAGATGAAGCCTTTCCCCCACCATGAGAAAACAACCAAAGCAGCAAAAGACGAGACAAAAGGATAACTTAAAACCTTTTCTACTACCTAGTTTTTCTAATCATTTGATGTGACTTTACGCAGTACTGTATCTCTTCTTCTGATTATAAGAGTGCAATATACTCCATATGAGAGTCTTAGCTCACTGCTAAGTTCCTGGAGAGCCATGGCCAAGGCAGAGAAAGCTCACAGTAGGCGCATGGCCTTCAGTCAGCCCCACTTTCAGGACGATGTGTAAGGCTGATCAGGCAACTCAAAATCTGCAAAAACACAGACCTTGCTGAGTAAAATCTGGCTTGGCAGCGACGCCCGCCCCCGTGCTGCTATTTGAAATGCCAGTGTGCAGCTGGGTGTGCTGGCACATGTCTGCAATCCCAGCATTCAGGAGTTGAGGCAGGACTACCATGAGTTCAAGGCCACCCTGGGCTACATAGTAAGTTCAAGGCCAGTCTGAATTACCAAGCAAGACACTATCTAAAAAACCAACTTGGGGCTAGGGAGACAGCTCAGTAGAATAAGTGCTTGCCTGACAAGCGTAAGGTCCTGAGTTTGATTCCTGGTACCACCAAAAAATAAAAATAAAAAACAAACTAAGCCAGGTGTGGTGTCCCATGAATGTAATCCTAGCACTAGGAGGCTGAGGCAGGAATTCAAAGTCAGTTTCAAGTACATAAGAAGACCGTGCCTCAAGAAAGTAAGTAAAATGGGGCTGGAGAGATGGCTCAGTGGTCTAAAGCACCTACTTGAAACAAGCTTGGCAAAGCACAGGGACCGCGGTTCGATCCCCAGCACCACATGCCAGCCAGCCGCGCCCCCTGGTGGGCTGAGCTGGCCACACACACACACACAATAAATAAATGTAATAAATAAAAATAAAATAAATATTAAAAAAAAAAAAGAAAGTAAGTAAATAAGTAAATAGAATACAATAAAATAAAAATAGCTGTGTGGACCTGGCCTTGTGGTGCAGGCCTGTAAGCCCAGCAAATGGGAACATCACACATTTAAGGCCAGCCCAGGAAACTTAGTGAGACCCTGACTCTCAAAGTAAATAAAAAGTGCTGAACATACAGCTCAGGAGCAGAGCACACCTGGCTTCAACCTGCAGCATCGCTTAGATATAAAAATATGGGCTGCGGATTTAGCTCAGCGGCACAGCACCTGCCTGGCAAGCACAAGTTGTGAGTCTGATTCTCAATACCAAAACAGGAGCCAGGGAAATAGCTCAATAGAAGTAGCACTTGCCTGGCAAGCGCAAGGCCCCAAGTTCAATCCCTGGTACTGCCAAAAAACAAACAAACAAAAAAACCCAATATACTCAATACCAAGACAAAAACAAACGTAGAAATGTGCTTCCACTCTCTGTGGGAGCAGGTGATGCCAAGGGTGCAGCAGAAGCCCCCGTGGGGTCTCCACAGCCCTGGTGAGTGACCCCCACCACCCTACCCAGGCCCTAGGAAATGTGGTTCTTTTAAGGGCTCCTTGAAAACAGGAAAAGGAAAGTATCCTTTCCAACCCGCTCACAGCTGGGACAGCCTGCTGGGACAGCGGTCTCGGCACACTTTGCTTCACCTCCCTGCCAGGTGCTCCTCACTACCGCTGCCTGCAGGCTGGGGGAGGACGACGCGGCGAGTGCACGCGGGAGGAGCTGCACGCTGCACTTACCAGTGCGCTGAATCCGCCCTCCCTTCCCGTCATCCCAGCCAGGCGGAACATGTACCACAGGATGGCCAGGCCCACTGCCGTCATCCCCAGGGCGTAGAGGGCACTGATCAGGAGAGAGAGGGAGCAGCTCAGAGCTGTCTCCAGGGCAACTGAAGCAGGCAGCACAGCAGCTGTGCCCTCCACAGGGTCCCCATGGGCTCAGCCTAAGTGTGGGGCACATGGGCCAGACCAGTGCAGGATGCTGCCGGCTGAATGCAGTCTCCCAGGGAAAAGTCCACTGGAGTCAGGTTCCCCTGGGAGAAGGAGAGGCAGCTCCGCCCTGCCGCACCTGCCGCCTCTGGGCACGCCGGAGGCCTGGCGTCTGTGTGCTGTGGCTGGGAGGTGGTGCCTGCAGGGGGAGAGGCTCTCTCCACACTGTGAGCCCAGCACACCGTGTGACCATTTAAGTCAACTGTGCCCACGAGCCTGTGGGTTCCATGGCCCTTAACCACCCAACAGCACCACACACTTCTGTTTCTCTCAATGTTGGAAGAAACTCTTGTCAACATCCTCATTTCTCTCTTCTCTGATCCATTTCTCTATCTGTAGAAAACACCGAGCCTCTGCAAGGACTGGTGGCTCACACTATAATCCCAGCACTCTGGGAAGTTAAGGCACGAGGGCCTCAGGTTCGAGCCCAGCCTGGGCAGCTTAACGACTTAGTAAGATCCTGTCTCAAAGTAACAAAGGGCTAGGGATGTTGCTCAGTGGGAAGATCCTGGTTCAATCCCTACTACCATGAGAAACCCCACAAACACGGGCTGCACACTGTTAAATGCCACCACGTAGAGCAAGTGGCTATTCAGCCCCCACACAGATGCCCCTGCACCCATACCGCTCACTCTGCTGGCTGCGGCCAGAGCCAGTCAAGCTTCTGTCTACAGCTTGTTCGCTGGACACAAAGCCAAGCTGGATGGGTTCAGGAGCTGCCAGAGGCCAACATACTTCCCAAAGAACCCCGTGCGCTTGTAGGAGACGGGGATCCTGTCCTTGCTCTCGATGTTCAGCTCATCCTCAGCTGCCCGCAGCTTCTCCTCAAATTTGTCGATATTTGCCACCTGCATGCGGTACACCAAGGCCAGCCGCTGAGGGAGAAGGGGAGGGGAGGGTGAGGTCAGATCCAGCCACAGGACCCCTGTCCTTCTGGCAAGGATGCTGTTTGGAAGGAACTGGCATCTGACCAGATGCTCTAGGTCCCCCAGTACCATCTGGGAAGCAAATGGGTAAAAGACAGGCTCTCTGAGGCTGAGCTCTCCCAAGGAGGAAAATTTGCAGAAAATGGAGGGAGACATCTAATCTCATTCACCACCTCAGGCTCAGCCAGGGAGAGAACCCGCAGAGTTGGTGTCAATGCAACCAGGCACGAAGCTGGGACAGCACGGTCCACTCCCTGAGGCCATAAGCAGTGGTTCTGGGGCGGGGCTGGAATTCAGTTCAGCAGGACTTGCGCACATTTTTCGCCCTACACTGCACCTTGCAACACCAGTCTCGCGGCATTCATCTCCCGGGGATGTGTGTCCCCAGCCGAGCTCTGTGGGCTTGGCTCACATCTGAGCCCAGCTGGGGACCACCGCCCACCAGGGGAAGAACAGAGGCTTCCAGTTCTCTCTGAGGCTGGCGAGTGGCTGCAGCAGAGGTCAGGGACAGAGCAGGAGGAGACACCTGCCATCCCTCCCCACATGCCCCACCTGCCAGGACAGCATTCTGAATGCTTTCTCCTCAAGGGAGAGTAACTGGATGGCGAAGTCGGTGCAATGCTGCGGGGTACAATAATCCTACAACCAGCGGGCTTGAACAATCAGCACCCATCTAGGCACCTGCGTGGGCCGTCGGGCTCATATGCGTTTCTTCTGCTTTTTTGGTTTGCTTTTCTTTGGTTTTATTTGGAACGGGGTCTAGGAAATCCAGGTTGGCCTCCAATGCACAACTGCCTCCCACACGCCTCGGCCTTCCACATGCTGGGATTACAGGTGTGCACCACTATGCCTGGCTCTTCTACTTTTTAGGAAATTGTCACCTCCACCTTCCTGCTCAGCTTTCCAAGCAGTTGGCACGTGCCATCACACCCACAGCCCAGCCCACACTTTCCAAGGCTAACTGTTACGGCTGCACTCTTTAGCCCCGTGGGGACCTGCATCCGCCCCAGGAGAGCCGGCTCTAGCAGGCTCCTGTGCCACCACTTCTCATCTAGGTGCTGCACGGAAGTTCCACTGGCTATTGCCCCAGAGCGGCATGGTGAGGCTCCGAGGGGGAGGCAGGTGGCACTGGCACTGCGGCACTCAGTCTTCACCCGCTGCTCATCCTACGGCCACCTTGTACTGGCTACTGCTGCTAGGTCACCCCACAGGCCTCCGGGGTCTCATATGCCCCTTTACAGCCTCAAACACTTGAATGGTAGAGTATGTACTAATCAAGCACAATACACTGGGTGTTTAGTCCCCACTACTGCAAAATATAACTGAACAAAAAACACTCCTCTGAGAGGCTGAGTCAGGAGGGTGGCAGTCCAAACCAACGGGGATGCAGCTCACTGAGAAGGTCCTAGTTCAATCCCAGTATCATAAACACTTGCACAATCAGTGTGTCTGTCACCAAGATGCACAGAAGGAAAAAGGGTAAAAGAGCCCTTTTTTGGTGCCAAGATCCAAAGCCAAAGTCTGAATCCAGAAGCCACTTCAACCCTGCACTCCGCACAGACCCTCCAGGTGCACCCCTGCGGCCTGCGGCTCACTCCGTCCAGGCAGCGCACAGCTTCTCTGTGAAGGGCTTGGGTGACAGAGCTGCACCGCTGCTGTCTGCCCGCTGCATCAACTCCACAGCCCAGACGACCACACAACCTGTGTAAGCTGCCGTTCAAGACTTGGTCCAGCTCAGCGGATCAAAGTGCCTGCCTAGGCAGACGCAGGGGTTGAAGGTTCAATCCCCCAAATGCAGTGTCAGCCCTACACCCGGGGCTCGCTGAGCTTGCAATTGAGACTGGGCATGTGACATGCATGCCTGTAATCCCAGCACTTGGGAGGCTGAAAACAGAAGGATCACTACGAGTCAGACCTGTGTAGTGAGGGTTGAAGTGGCTTCTGGATTCAGACTTTGGCTTTGGATCTTGGCACCAAAAAAAGACCCTGAAGACCCTGCACTAAAAAAAAAAGTTGGTCCAGACCGGGCATAAAGCTCAGAGCTTACCTAGCAAGTGTGAAATCCTGAGTTTGATTTCTAGTACTGAAAAAAAAAAAGAGTTCATCTAGAACTTCATGGGGGACCTGTGCAGGCCACTGCCCCTGGCTGCCACCCTGGGAACCCCTGGGGGCGCAAGGCAGCTCTACAGAGAGGTGCTCACACTGCAGAAGGAGACTGCAACCAGTGGCCGGCCACATGCACAGGCCACAGTGGCAGGCAGAGACCTCATGGCCGTCCTGCCAAACTTCTGAGAAGGAGCTGCCAGGAGGCTGTGCCGGCAGCGCTCTTGAGCCCAGGATTGCCACAACAGTCTAAGCAGCACAGCCAGACCTCAAGTCAGAAACGTAACAGAGTAGCCCCGTGTGGTGGCGCGGCGCATCCCAGAACTCGGGAGTCAGAGGCAGGAGGTTTGCTGGGAGTGAGGCCAGCCTGCACTACAAAGTGAGCTCAAGGCCAGCCTGAGCTGCATAGAGTAAGAACCTATCTCAAAAAGACAAAAAAAAAAAAAAAAAAAAAACCCCAACAAAACAAACCCACAGAGAGGAGATGGAAGACATGTGCCAGACACCACTGAGGACTCTCACCCGGAGCCTGAGCATTAGGGTTACCAAGGTCCTGCTGAGGCCAGCATGGAGACAGAACTGTGAGCAGGGGAGGGCCCGAGTGACACTCCAGGCAGGTGGCGCCCTGACCCAGGCACCTCCTACTCGCTGCCCTCGGGCCCTCCGTGAGCAGTGCCCCGTCCCTTCTGAGGCTCAGTCCTCAGTGTGCACTTCCCTGCACCAGGCGACCCACTGCCATGTCCTCATCTCAGGGACACACACTGACACCCACACGAGGGAGAGGCTTACCAGGGTCACACTTTCTGAACATCAGTGGTTCAAGGTAGGATAGCTAGTACGGAGCAGACTCTGGGGCTGGGGCTGGGAGGAGGCCGCGTGCAGTGCAAGGCCGGGGCCCTGCTAGGCCTCAACCACAACAACCTTCTTGCTCCTAATACCAGGGAGTGAGGCAGTGAGGTGCCAGTCGGCCCGGCTCCTCCTCCTATTGCAGCACCCCCACCGGAGGCTGCGGCCTCGCAGCTATCCCTCCTGCCTCTCTTCTCAGACCCTCATCCTTACCCAAGCAGCCTCTCGGTGCCCGCACTTACCGGCCGCCCAAACACCACGGCCCCTGGGTGCAGGTAGACCTCCACGACGTCACTCTCAGGCACTACCTGCACTCGCTGCACCTCGCCCTTGGCCAGCATCTCACTGACGAAGTCGTTCCACGAGATGCTGCTGCCACTGGAGCTGAGTGCATTCAGCAGGCTCATGACTACGGCGATGACGAACAGCGTGCGCAGCCGCTCTCGGTACATCTGGTCCTCCCGCTCCTTGCGCCGCCTCTGCTCTGCGTGGATACAGGACAGCGAGATGCGAAGGTTCAACTAGGGCCCACAGGCCTCTCTGCTCTCCAGGGAAGCTCGCCTGCAGGAGCAGGGCCCACAGTCCTACAGGACCCCGCACTTCTGCTGCGTGTTTGTCACTTAGGATTCACCTAGAGCCTTCGCTCTGAACTACATCCCAGGCCTGCTTTTGTTTGTTTCTTTTGAGATGGTTCTCTCTAAGTCACTAGTCTGTCTGTGCTGGCCTTGCATTCAAGACCTTCTTGCTTTGGCCTCCAGACTGCCTGAGTTTCAGGTGTGTACTACCACATATGGCTCTACCGGTTCTCAGTGGTCACTTGAGACAGGCTGTTTGTGTGCTGTCTGAAGCCACCAACTCCATGCACTGAGGTCTTCTCAAAAGGACAGGAGAGGCCTCTACTTCAGATCCTCGGAAACTTTTGTTTTTACCTTCTATTTATTTATTTGGTACAATGTTTCACTTTGCAGCTCAGACTCACTGTGATCCTCCAGTCTCAGTCTCCCCAGTGCTGGGATTACAGGCGTGCTCCACCACGCCTGGTTCTGTTGGCTGGCATGGCATGCCCAGGGTTTGAACCTGGGTCCTTCCACTTGCCAAGCAGGTGTTTAGACTGTCACGCTATCCCCCCAGTCTCAACAAGAAATTCTTCTTCTTTTTTTTTTTTGCTGTGTATATTTCTTTACTGATCTTGGGAACAAAAGGAATATTTTTAAACACAAAAAATCTTTCCTGTTCCTGGGTGCAGAGTTCCACTTGAACAACTTAGCAAGATCCCATCTCAAAATAACAAAAAGGTTTGGGGCTGGATATTTCAGCATATGCCTGTTATAGGAGGTACTCAGGAGGCTGAGGCAGGAGAAACACAAGTTCAAGCACAGCCTGGACAACTTAACAAGACCCTGTCTCTAAATAAAAATAAAGTTGTTTTACTTTTTTTTTGTCTGTTTGTTTTTGGCTGAATCGGGGACTGAACTCAGGCCTTTGCACTTGCCAGGGAAGTGCTCATTCTACTGAGCCATCTCCCCAGCCCCAGGGGTTGTTTTGTACCAGGGATTGAACTCATGACCTTGTCCTTGTCAGGCAGGTACTGCACCCGCGGTCCCTGTGCTTTGCTAAGCTTGTTCTAAATAGGTGCTTTAGACCACTGAGCCATCTCACCAGCGCCCTGTATGTCTTTCTAATTCACTTACAATCTTGCCTTTTGAACTTAATGAACTTGCTTAATGAACTAAATGAACTTAATTCGTTTAGTTGTTATTTAACTTAATTTATTACGCTGGTCATGGTGGTACACATATCTGGGAGGCTGAGGCAAGAGGATGTAATGTTTGAAACCATCCTGGACAACTCAGTGATTCTGTCTCAAAATAAAAATAAATAAATAAATAAATAAAGGCTGGGGATATAGCTCAGTGCAAAGGTCCCAAGTCCACTCCCCTGTACGGCTAAAAAAATTCTTATTATGAGAGCAGAATTAAGACATAAATTGGACATGTAATTCAGTTAGTATACTGCAAAGCACGCAGTAATTTTCCTAAAAATTAACAATTTCCACATCATTGCTCCAAATAACAATAACCAGCTTTCTTTTCTCCCCCAATCTTTTTTTTCTTTTTTTATTCATTTTAATGAGAAAATAAAATAGCAATGAAACAGTTTCAAAACGGGTTAGTAGGACAGTTACAATAATTAATACATTGCATATTGTTGTCTTTGTAGTGGTTATTCAGAGGACAAGATGCAGACATGAGATCTTGTCTAAACACTATTAGTACAAGTCAATAACTTCTGAGGATAACTCAGTACTATCATAGGCTGCTGGACAGCGTTGGATTGTTTATTGCTTATTATTATTTTTTTTTTTTTCGGAACTGGGGATTGAACTGAAGCCCTTGCGCTTGCCACGGAAGCACTTATTCTACTGAGCCATCACCCCAGCCCTGGATTGTTTAGCTGAATTCAAACACCTATAGTATTTAGATGCCAATAGAATACCCACCTCTGACAGGACTAAACAAAAAAAAGGGGATGCAAAGGAAAGATCATTTTGTATTTATATATACAAAATAGTTAGGATAGACATACAGCTACTTTCGCTTAATTCAATGAGAAGAAAGAGGTGTACTGTTAGTGTTTGGACAGGATATCGTGTCTGCTTCTTGTGCTATGGATAACCAGTAGGAAGATAACAATGTACAAGGTATTAATTATTGAAACTGTCCTATTAAACAATATTAGTACAAACCTTTCTTCTCATTGAACTAAGAGAAAGTGCTGTATATCTATCCTAACTATTTTGTATATACATATTTTTTCACTATAAAATGGTCCTTTATTTACATTGCCGTTTTTGTTTTGTTTTGTCAGAGATGGGTGTTCCACTGCTGTGAGAGACGCTGTATTCAGCGAAGTCTTTAAAGAACCTTTTAATACTTGGACCAGTTCAAATATTGTAGGTACTTGAATTCAGCTAAATAACTCAATATAGCCCAATAGTCCATAATAGTAGTCCCCCACTTTTTGAGACAGGGTCTCCTTCAGCAGTCCGGGCTGCCCTCAAACTCATGGCCTCCTCCTGCCACACGCTCCTCAGGAGTGCGACTACAGAAGGTGCCACTGTCTCCAGCTCAAATCAGCTTTTAACTCACAGTGCTCAGAAACTAGATCAATTCAGTTAATCATCTCCCTTCTCACTAGCAAGTAAGTCCTAATTCAAGCATAGAAAATGAGACCTAAGTCAGGCAAGGTGGTTCACACCTGTAATCCTGGCACTGGGGAGGCTGAGGCAGGAGGATCCCGAGTTCGAGGCCAGCCTGGGCTACAAAGCGAGCTCAAGGCCAGCCTGAACTGCATAGTGAGACCTTTTCTCAAAAAGACAGAAAAAAGAAAAAAAAAAGAAGAGAGAAAGGAGGGAGGGTGGGAACGTAGGGAGGGAGGGAGACCAACCTACATTAGGCAGGACATGCTTAGATTCTTCAAGTGACCTTCTAGGAGCATGAGAAGCCAGGGGCGCTGGTCTACGATGGTCACTCTTGTGCTGGGCCAGCCCCGCTTCACTGCTGTGCTCTTGGGCCTGTTGCCAAGCCCAGGGGACTGACCCTGGGCAGGAGGGCACGGTGAGCACCGTGGGCAGAGCTATGATTTGCCCTTTCTGTGTAGACACAGCAAGTGTACCTGGCTTCCGGCATTTCTGAATGCAACACAGGGACACAGGTGCCCATGGAAACGACCCCAAAAGAGCATGGACAAGGGTACCTGGTAGCATATACCTATAATCCCAGAACTCCAGAAGCTGAGGCAGGAGAATCACTGGATTTTCAAGGCTACCTCGGCTACACAGTGAGTTCAAGCCCAGCCTGAACTACACAGTGAGACCCTCCTTGTATCATTCCCTTCCCCCGCTCCAAAGAAAGAACATGCACAAAGAACCCAGGATTCACTGAGAAACAGAAAGGGGAGGACAGGGAGGCAGGTGTGCACAAGCACAGGCAACCCCAGACACCTGGGCTCCCCTACCTTCAGGGATGGCTCCCCCTTGCTAAGAGGAGAGCACACAGTGAAGATGCCAGAGGGAGCTACTACTTTAGAACATCAGGCAGGTGTACCTTCATCGTCTCCTGCGGCCTGCCCCTTGGGCTTATCATTGTCTTTGTTCTTTTGCTTCATTCTTGAGGTAGTAAAATAGCAAGTACCACCTGTGAACAGTAGGGAAACAATGTAACAACCAGGTTCATGCCTCCTGAGACACAAGGGAGAACAGGACAGGCCCAAAGACCCAACCACAGCCAAAGCCATCTGAAACCCACACAGAAGGTATCCATGTGAACTGATAAAGCATCTATTTCTATCATTCTTAGTACAGTATCTGCTAATTAAGGAACAGTGAAGTAGGTGCAGGCCTGTAATCCCCATACTCTGGAAGGCCGAGGCAGGAGGATCACAAGTTCCAGCAATCCCAGCACTCGGGAGGCTGAGGCAGGAAGATCAGTGCAAGTTCAACACCAGCCTGGGGAGGCTGGAGAGATAGCTCAGCAGTCTAAGCACCTGCGTGGCAAGCACAAGGACCCAAGTTCAATCCCTGGTCCCATGTGCTGTGCCTGCCCACGTGTAGAGGTACACGCCTGCAATCCCTGGACTAGGGAGGGAGAGACAGGAGGACCACTATGAGTCCAAGCTGCATAGTGAGACCCTATACCAAATAAATAAAACATTTTTTTTAACACAAGAAAAAGAGGGCCAGGGAGATAGCTCAGTGACCCTCCTGTTCAGCCTCCTGAATGCTGGGATTAAGGTGTGTGGCACCACACCTGGCAACAGGGCACGTTCTGACAGATGCTTCATTGGGTGACTTCTTCATCCTGCCAACACGACCACGTATTTCCCTGGACCTCGATGGCAGAGACAACCGCTCCTGGACTACCTCCCTGCGCAACGCTCCCGTCCTGAACCCTGCAGGTCACTGGCACACACTGGATATTACCATTTCATCAGGCAACAGAAATTTTCCAACTCAGTTATGGTCTTCTGGCCTCCCCGCAAAACATGTGGTTCATGACCAATGGAAATATGACACACTGTGCAACTGTGGACTCACACATGCCATCCCCTCTGCTGTGCCACTTACTACGAACAAGCACACACCTAAAAGTCGCCAGAGTCCCGCTGGATTTTGAACTAGATGCTGTTTCAGCAGCAATCCACCAAGCCCTTCCAAAGCAGGCATTAGCATTCTTGACTTCGAGCTCTAAAAAACAAAACAGGACTGAGCCCACAAGTACACCAAACCAATGAGGATAAAAAACATTTTTTAAAAGCTTAAGTTGGCTTTAAAATAAAAATAACTGATGTAAAAAATAAATAAATAAATAAATAAATGAAAAAAAAAAAAAGCTTAAGTTGGTATCTCCTTGTAGTGCTCACCCTGCCCTGAAGTGCGGACAGTGTGAGCATTACTTTAAAGTTTTAAAGTAACACCTAAACATCTGAAGCTACCAAGCCAAGCCAACAGCAGGAGCGGGCTTCGGTGCCCACCCAATGCTCGCGGGGGGGCCGCCCTGCACTGTGCGTCAAGAGCTCCAGCAGGACAGCTGCTCACCAGCCACACTCCCAGCTCCCTCCGACATGAACACTGTCCCACTGGAAAGTATTCAATGGTTTTTTTTTTTTTTTTTTCTTTCTTTCTTTTTTTTACAGTACTGGGATAGAACTCAGAGCCTCCCACATGCTAGGGAAGTGTTCTACCACTGAGCTACATCCCAAGGCCAGATGTTCTTAAGATCATTTCGGGGCTCTAGGTATGATGGTGCATGCCTGCAATCCCAGCACTCGGGAGGCTGAGGCAGGAAGATCAGTGCAAGTTCAACACCAGCCTGGGGAGGATGGAGAGATAGCTCAGCAGTCTAAGCACCTGCGTGGCAAGCACAAGGACCCAAGTTCAATCCCTGGTCCCATGTGCTGTGCCTGCCCACGTGTAGAGGTACACGCCTGCAATCCCTGGACTAGGGAGGGAGAGACAGGAGGACCACTATGAGTCCAAGCTGCATAGTGAGACCCTATACCAAATAAATAAAACATTTTTTTAACACAAGAAAAAGAAGGCCAGGGAGATAGCTCAGTAGAATAAGTGCTTGCCTGACAAGTTCAGGGTCCCGAGTTCAATCCCTAGTATCGCAAAAAAAAAAGAAAGAAAAAGAAAAAAAGACCAGCCTGGGCTACAAAGTGAACTCAAGGCCAGCCTGAAATGTGTAGTGAGACCCAGTTTCAAAAAGAGAAAGGAAAAACAAATCAGAGCAGCCATTTATTTATTTTGGGGTGGTACTGGGGAGTGAACCCAGGGCCTTTATGCAGAGCTACAGGTCTAGCTCTTTTTAAAGTTTTGGGATAGTGTCTTACTAAGTCACTTAACTGCCCAGGCTAGCACTGAACTTACGGTTGGCCTGCTCTGCCTCCCAGAGCACTGCAATTATACGTGTGCACCACCACGCCCGGTCTCAACGGTCCAATATCTTCTCTATTTCTGTGTTGTCATTTTCTCTTTTCCCCTTTAAGTTTCTCCTTAGCGCCTATTCCTGTCCTGCTGCTAGGGCGAAGAGGAATGCTCTGCTCAAAGCTCTTAGCTAGGGGCCGTGGAGATGGCTCAGTGGAATAAGCGCTTCCCTGGCAAGCACATGGGCCTCAGTTAAGGCCTGAGTTCAATTCCTGGTTCCGCAAAAAAAAAAACAAAAAACAAAAAACAACCTCTTAGCTAGCACATACTACATGCAACTTCCTATTAGCAAGGGGATGAAATCCCCAGTCTACGCCACTACTACCATTCGTGTCTCAGTGAGGGCCACAGAGTTGAGACTGAGCCCAGTAAATGAGCAACATCAGTGTAGTGGCCAGCTGTGATGGTGATCATCTTGTAATCCCAGCACACAGAAGGCTGAGGCAGGAGGACTGAAAGTTGGAGCCCAATCTAGGCTACACAGCAAGTTCAAGGTCAGTATAGAGTGCACAGGGTACCCTAACTTTAAAAAAAAAAAACAAAACACCGAAGTTGGCATTCTTCAAAGTTAGCCCTAAACTAGGCATGGTGTCACACACCTGTAATTTCAGTACTTGGACAGCAGAGACAGAGATCCAGGCTACCCTAGGCTAACAGTGATTTCAAGTCTATCTCTGACCAAAAAGCAAAACAATCCTAAACAGTTTGTTTGGGCCAGGGATATAGCTCAGCAGCATTAGTGCCTGCCTGGCAAGTGCAAGGTCCTGAGTTCGAGCCTCAGTACCAAAACAAAAAAGATGTCTCTAATAGCAGTAGTAGTAGTAATAATAATAATAATAATAATAATAGGGCTGGGGAGCTAGCTCAGCGGTCTAAGCGCCTGCCTGGCGAGTGGAAAAACCAGTGTTCAATCCGAGGAACTACACACCGTGCTGGACCTGGAACCCATGCTGTGCTTGCCACAAGAACTGGGTGAGGTGGCACAAGCCTGTAATCTCAGCGCTGGGGAGGCTGAGACAGGAGGATCACTACGAGTCCAAGCTGCGTAGCAAGACCCTGTACTAAATAAAGAAATGATTCTTAGAAGTTATAAGCAAAATAAGATAAAATAAATAAAAGCTCGGGATGTGGCTCAATGTAAAGGCCTGCATTGAATCCACGGTACTAAACGGTAAGTCTCTGCAGTTTACGCGTCTCTGAACGCGAATAGTCTGAGCACCGTTTCAAAGTTTTAAGATGACCGGAAGATGTCTACGCTTTCGGGCCGGCGCTCCCGGCACGGCTGGGACGCGGCGGGGCGCCCCCGCACTTGGCAGGAGGCGGTTACCCGGCGCGCAGGGTCTGCCCGCAGCCGCTCCCGCGACACACCGGAGTCCCTGGGAGGCGCGGGGACCCCGCGAGGGAACGAGCTGCCTCGGGCGGAAACGCCAGCCCGGCCCCGGCGGAGCGGCGAGGCTGGAGGCCGCGGTTACCTGCAGAGCTCGGCCCCCGGCCCCGGCGGCACTCGGGGGAGGCCTGCAGACCACGCAGCGCCTCGTCTTCGCAGGCCCGGCCGAGAGGCCCGAAGCTGGGCCCCAGAGCCGCGCGGGACACGGCCCCGGGCCTCGGCGCAGGGCGCGCAGCAGCAGCAGCAGC